GGGGGTGGCCGCGGGGCCCAGACGGGGACAGACGGGGCTGGCCCGATCCTCCCCGCGGCTTTGGGGGGGCCCCACGCCCAGACGGCCCCGAGGGASCGGGCGGGGTGACACCGAACCCGCCGGGGCTGCGGGAGCCTGGGGGGGACCCCGAGACCGGGACAGGCGGCGCGGGGGTGGCGGTGCCAGGGGAGGAGGGGACGGAGGTGACACCGGGGGGGCCACAGCCACTCTTGGGGGTGTCACAGCCACTCTTGGGGGTGTCACAGTCACTCTCGGGGGGGGTCACAGCCCCGTGGGGGTGTCACAGCCCTGTGGGGGTGTCGCAGCCACTCTTGGGGGTGTCACAGCCCCCATGGGGATGTCACAGGCACTTTTGGGGGTGTCACAGCCCTGTGGGGGTGTCACAGCCACTCTTGGGGGTGTCACAGCCCCGTGGGGGTGTCACAGTCACTTTTGGGGGTGTCACAGCCCCCATGGGGGTGTCACAATCACTCTTGGGGGAGTCACAGCCCCCATGGGGGTGTCACAGAGTGTCACAGTCACTCTTGGGGGGGTCACAGCCCTGTGGGGGTATCGCAGGGTGTCACAGCACCCACGGGATGTCACAGCCACTCATGGGGGTGTCCCAGTCCCCAAAGGGTGGTCACAGCCCCCCCGGGGGTGTCACAGGGGTGTCCCAGGGTGTCCCAGTCCCCAAAGGGTGGTCACAGCCCCCCCGGGGGTGTCACAGGGGTGTCACAGGGGTGTCACAGGGTGTCACAGTCCCCCCGGGGGTGTCACAGGGTGTCACAGTCCCCCCGGGGGTGTCGCAGGGTGTCCCAGTCCCCAAAGGGTGGTCCCAGCACCCACAGGGGTGTCACAGAGTGTCACAGCCCCCCCGGGGGTGTCACAGGGGTGTCACAGGGTGTCACAGTCCCCCCGGGGTGTCACAGGGTGTCCCAGTGCCCCCGGGGGTGTCACAGGGGTGTCACAGGGTGTCCCAGTCCCCCCGGGGGTGTCACAGGGGTGTCCCAGCC